AGGCGCAAAATCCAACAGTGTTTTCTGAACCACGTTATCTGTCCTTTACCAAACTTTATGTGATTCAGATGGAGGACAAAGAAAGAAGATCCAACTGTTTCTTTCATTACTAATTGAGTCATATCACCGAGTTTATAAATGAGTTACATTAGTATTTGCTTTCATCTGTTAATGAGTTTGTAATGTTAAATTATAAACTCATCCTCTGTTCCTGTTCTTTTTCTCTCTGCATAAGCTTCAGCCAATGACTACAAATAACAATAATCATATAACTATCCACTGGAGGGAAGAGCTTACAGGCAGAACCACCAATATTGTGTTATTTCAGTTAAGATATAGCTGGAATTTGCCTGAACTAGACTAAATGAACTCAATTCCAATAAGGCTTAGGTTGTCTCTAAATGGAATGAATGTTATGGATAAAAGTATTGTTGTACACATATGTCCACATATACCTTGTCTTTTGCCTTGAAAGATGGAATTATAGAGAATAAAAAAGAAATCCTGTAGAGTCCAGCCATTTCCCTATGATCTAACAAAATCACTGTTTCCTTTTTCTTAATTATAGCTACCTGAGCACAGTGACCTTTATACCCATTAGGTTGATCTTCAAACACAAGCAGACTCGCCGGTCTTGAAAGATTACAAACCCCAAAGCCACTGGACATTTGTTTCTTATTGAATTTTTTGTCTCAGTTTTCAACAAAAGTAAGACCTCCTAAAGGAAAGGTTTCTGTCTTAAGTAATATAATTTGGCTACTGGGAATTTACATTAGATTCTCCTCTGTAATTAATAGTGTTATAGCAAAAGGGAGAATATTCCCCCCTCAGGTGTCCAGTGCTAATGATGTAATCTTTTCCCTCATGATACCATGGCAGTGACTGCCATTTCCCAGTTCACAGTAAGTCTTAAAGTGGTAACAGTTGAGAAAGGTCCGTTTACCCTTTTAAACTCTAGAAAAGAGAGCCTTTGACAGCTTCAATTTTCAGCCTGGTTATTTCTGCAGTTCCTCTGTTGAAAAATTTCAACCCCATATTAAATTGAAGATGGTTTACCATTATTCTCAAACCTCCCAAATGATCCATTACTAACATCCAATTCAATCTAAGAGTGATAGTTATGTTAACAAGTTATATGGTCCTGAAGGGCACATAGCATTTGGTGTGGTCGTATTGAGAGCCCTCTTCTAAGTTACAGACTGCCTGCTTCTCACTGCATCCTCACGTGGAGGAAAGAGAGAGAAAAGCAGGTTTCTTATGTCTTCATTTTTTGTTTGAGACAGTCTCGTTCTTTCCTCAGGTGAGAATGCACTAGTACAATCACAGTTCACTGTAGCCTTAAACTCCTGTGCTCAAATGATCCTCTGGCCTCAGCCTCCAGAGTAGCTGGGACCGCAGGCGCACATCGCAACACTTGATTAACTTCTTTATTCTTTGTAGATACAGGTCTCACTATGCTTCCCAGGCTGCTCTCAAACTCCTGGCCTCAAGTGATCCTCTGGTGTCAGCCTCCCAAAGTGTTTGGATTATAGGTGTGAGCCACTATGCCTGCCCTCTCACATTTTTTCATAAGAGCAGCCATCCCATTCATGAATGCTCCACACTCATGAGCTAATTGCTTCCCAAAGGCTTCACTTCCAAAAATTACCACAATGGGAGTAGGATTTCAACATGTAAATTTTGAGGGTACACTAACATTCAGTCCATTGCACCCTCTGTAGACACGATGCTAATTTACATTTCCCTCAGCAATAGGTGGATTTATCATTTTCTCCACATTCTTTCCAATAAATTATTGCAGTTTTTTTTAATCTGATAAGTGAAAACTGAACCTGCTATTCTTAATTTGCATTTGATTATGAGACATGTTTAAATGACATTTGTGTTCATATTCCTTAATCGTTAATTCATTGTCTATCAGTTTTCCACCATTTTCCTATTTATTGGGGCTCTTTACATATTCATTAAAGAGACCCAATGTCATGGGTCTCCAAAGAGTATTTTTGTATCGAGTATATCCACTTCTGCAACACAAAAAATTGACAAAGTAGTTTTGTTTCCCAAAAAGTACTAGCTTATAATGGAATTCTACGGTGTAAACTTTAGTCAATGCCCATAGCTACATACGAGTTGTTACCCAAAGCATGGATTATTTCTGTTTATTCTTCCATTGTCAAGTCAGCATTTCCCAAAATTTATTCAATGGAACATTAAATGTATATAATTCATAAGAAGGGGGCAGATGGAGTAAAATAAGAAATACTCTATAGACAAATAATCTTGATTTAAAACATAGTTAAATGAAATGCTTTCTTTAAGGATTAATCAAAGTTGTAATGTGCCAAATCTTTATGAAACAAGCATAGTACAAACGTTTCAAAATTATTTGCCTGCATACCTACCTCCTGAGACTAGTATTCTGCTAGACACAGTTTGGGAGGTAGTCCTTTAAAGTAAAGACCTTTACTTTGATTATGACTATTATTAAATTGTTCGCTTTGTAACGAGCCTTGAATTTCACAAGTAACAGCAAATACTTCTCATGCTATTATTCCTGATAATTAAATTTTAAGTCGTGACAATAAATCATTACCTGGTAACATCATTCATTCACACTAGGGTTTTAATGTATGTGTCCCCCCAGAATTGATAATTTAGAACTTAAACCTCAAGGGGTTGGTATTAACAGATGGGGCCTTTGGAAAGTGGAGCCTTTGGGCAGGCCATAAAGGCTCCACCCTCAAGGATAGGATTTGTGCACTTACAAAAGGGCTAAAGGGAATGAGTTCATCAATTTTTGATTTTTTGTCTTTGTCCCTATAAAGAATAGCAACAAGGCACCATCTTTGAGGCAAGAAACAGTCCCTCCCCAAACACTGAATCTGCCAGCACCTTCATCTTGGACCTCCACAACTGTGAACAATCTATTTCTGTTGTTGACAAGCTACGCAGTCTAAGATGTTTTGCTATTGCAGCCCAAACAGACTAAAACAATTTGATTTTCTACTTATTCCTTCACAACACAAATATTAAGTTGTGACCCGCCTCCAAAGACATATGTTGGCATGTTGGAGCGTGTTATGAACTCCTCATAGATCTGAATACATTTACTATTTCCTCAGTAGTTCATGCTTATGGAATTCTTTTGGGACCTGTGGAGACAAACACAAATCGGATGGAATGTGGGAGCTCACTGTTTTGAAATTAGGCACCAAAATACTCTCTCAAGTGCCTTGTGTAAAATGTTTGTCTTATCAACGTCACCTTCAATGTTACAGCTGGCATGCCCAAAGCATCAGTGGGAGATAGTGACTGAGCTAGAGCTGACACTCAGGTACCAGAAGCTGTCACAAAACCTGTACCCTGGAGACACAGTTATACCCTTCCTGAAGCTGAGCTCAAGTGAACAAGACCACGTGTTAGAATAGTCACACTCACTGCTTCTAACCAAATACATTTCTTTTTCCTTTCTAGATTCTAAATCACACCCAATATGTACTTATAAAACCCTCCATGGGAGGAATTTGAATCCACTTGAGCAGGAATGGGAGACACCTGTGAAACTATTACATGTGAGTTCTGAGAAGTGTGGATTGCTACAAATAGTCCAGGCTTTGGAATTCACAAATGTGGGCTCAGCTTTTGGGCTCGCACATTCCTCTGTGGCCTCTGTTAAGTTACCAAACCTCTCTGTTCTGAGTTTATTTTTCTGTGGAGTAAAAATAGTTTTCTCATAGGATTATAATGAATATCCAGTGAGGTGAGTTTTTGCAGTGAGTCAGTTTTCACCACGAGGCACTTTTCATGGTTCCCAGAAAGCACAGTCACAAGACACGAAAAGAAAACTTTGGCAAGTAGCGTAGAGCAGGGGTCTCCAACCCCTGAGCCATGGACTGATGGGGGGGCTGGGGCCTGTTAGGAACCGGCCCACACAGCAGGAGGTGACTGGCAGGTGAAGGAGCATTACTGATTGAGCTCTGCCTCCTGTGAGATCAGCACTGGCAGTGGGTTCTCAGAAGAGTGCGAACCCTATTGAGAACTGCACATGTGAAAGATCTAAGCCTGTATGCTCCTTATGAGAATCTAATGCCTGATGATGTAAGGTGGAACAGTTTCATCCCAAAAATCCCCCTCCCACTACTCACCCCCCACTTCCATGAGGGTTATTTTCTGGTAGGAATAGCATATCACTAAAGCAGGCCTTTTAATATTAAATTTTTAAAAAAGCAAAATTAAAGAAGTTTAAAAAATTGTAATTTTTTAAAAAGCAAAATTATAGAAGTTTAGATTTGAATCAAATGTGTAGGGTTTCTAGGTAATTTTTACAGAATTGCTTGTGGCTTCAACTGTCTCTGACCTCTGCTTTTGGTGGAGATGGGGACGGGGCTGGAGTCAACACACTTGTAATTTTGTATCCTGATGTCGTTTCTCCCAGTGTGAAACATTCCATTTCCTTGTTAAGACTGCTGAAGAATTTTTTTTTCTTTTATAATAAGAAACAAACCCCACCTTTATTCCTTCACTTTCCCCACCATACTCTGGTTCATGTGTTGGTTGCAGCAGGCCAGCTGTGGTTTCCTCTTGCCATGATGACTTTTAATTGCCATGTACAGTATGATCAAAGTTAAATAACTCCTCATTCTAAACAAACTCTGTAACTGCCCAGAGCAGCACTTATAATTCAGCCTAACCTAAAAAGAAACACAAGGGTATATGATGTATTTCCAGTTTTCATAAGCAGGTCTTTGAAGTAAAAGCCTGTGAGAAAGGGCATACTTAGGTAGGTGTGGTCTTCAAAGATTCAAATAAAAAGATGTAGAAGATTCACATTTTGAAAAGCTCAGTATTCTCCAGAGGGGAAGGGCAGTACTTAGAGTTTAAGTGCTTTCAGGTGACCTCTGAAGGTCACCTGAATTTTTTTTTGCAGTGAATGAGCTCCTGACCTTGAGGAGTGCTTAACAGAATTTTTTTGGAAGAAGCACTGTGGGAAACATTCACAGATCCCTGGGAAACATAATTTCTGGAATCTTGCAAATATTGCACAGGGCAATCGCCTGCCCCAATTGCATGAACTGCTTCCTAGACCCAGTCACAACAGACTGTGGGCACAACTTTTGCAGGCCCTGTTTGTACGTCAGCAGGCCGGACATCCCAGCTCCTGCTCAGGGCTCTAAATGCAAGATGGAAATTTGGAGGAGGGAACTCTGAGGAGCAATGTGTGGGACTCACAGGCAGACAAAGAAGATGTTCTGTGAAGTGGACAAGAGCCTGCTCTGTTTGCTGTGCTCCAACCCTCAGGAGCACTAGGATCGCAGACACTGTCCATTGACTGGGCTACTGAGGAATGCCGGGAAAAGCTCCTAAAGAAAATGCAGTTTTTAATCAGAAAAAGCTTGTGAAAGTCTCAGAAACCTGAACACGGAAACCACAAGAACCAGATGCTGGAAGGATGATGTGAGTTTAAGGATACAAGCAATCAGAGCGGAATATCGGAAGATGCCGGCATTTCTCCATGAAGAAGAGCAACATCATTTGGAGAGGCTGCCAGAAAAGGGCGAGGACATTTTTCTGCAACTCAATGAAGGCAAAGCCAGAATGGAACATTGGAGGGAGATGGTAAGAGGAGTGGATGAGGAGCTGAAGGAAACGGGCCATAAACCAGATGTGGAGCTACTCCAGTGCTTTGGAGATGCGGTATGCAGGTGTGAGGCTCTGCTGCTGAAAGTGCCCAGCCTGTAAATCCAGAGCTCAGTGCAGGGCCCACCGTGGGACTGGGGGACAGGCTCAGTGAATTCAGAGTCGATATCACTCTGCATCCTGAAAGAGCCAATAGTGGTACTTCCTGCATGGAGATTTCAGAAGCATGAATGTTGGGTGTGACCCTCAAGATGATCCCCATATCACTGCAACACCTGGATGTGTTCTTTCTGGTTCTTTTCTGTTCACCCTGGATGGGGTGCTCAGACTTTCACATCTGGAAAATATTACTGGGAGGTTCACATGCGGGACTTTTGCCATTAGGCTTTTGGAGTCTGTAACAATTACTGGAAAAAGAAGACACAGAATGACTAGATGAAGAGAAGGGACCCTTTCTTCTTGGATGTGTTAAGGAGGATGTTCACTGCAGTCTCTTTACCACTTCCACACTTAGGGTACAATATGTTCCAAGACCTACCCACCAAGTGGGAGTTTTCCTGGATTGTGAAGATTGAACCGTGATCTCTGTTGATGTTGATCAAAGTTCCCTTATACACACCATCACTAATTGTTCCTTCTCGCCTCCTCTCAGGCCTATCCATTGCTGTAGTCACTTCTGAACCGGGACAAATCAGAAATGTGCCCACATGTGGGAACAACTTTATCCCAGGAAGTCTTCTTTTTTGCGCCTCACCAGAGAGGACAAATAAATTATATTTAACGTCTTTAGTTATCCTTCTAATGTCATCAAAACTCATTAAGAGTATTTTCATGATATTTAATAGAAACATTAAAAAAATTTATTTTGGCCTCTTTTAAAATACAGAACTTTATTTTGGTTACTGACGTTTTTGTTACTGTTGGTTAACAGAAAAGTCATTTCTTAGAAAATAGTAAAGGCAGCATTTTGTACAGTGACTCACATTGGGGCCACCAAACAAGTGCAAAGGACAGTGCCAGGGACAGAAGAGGCCAGCACTCTTGTGCCCAGTGCTCCTGGCTCCCTCTACCCCCTCCCATCACACCCAACACAGCAGCACCGAGGGCCCCATAGAGCCGGCCACGCACCCAAGTGCACGACAGCGACCCCTGCAGGCTGCTGAGGGCCCCACAGGAAAGGCCCAGTGGGAAGGGATTGTTCAGGCTGAGCTGGCCCTGCATCCAGCCCCTTCCTCAAGCTGTGGGGTCTGGGCTCGCCTGGCTTTGGGACTTGGACACATTCACAGCACGGTTCAGTAAAGTCCTTTGGGAGCTGGCCTTTCTCTCCTCACTCAGGCCACTAATCCTACCCCAGTCCCAGGCTGGGATCTGGGGACACACAGATGTGGCCCTACCTATTGGGAGCACACAGGTGAGTGCTGGGGGGCAGGCTGTGGACCCAGAAAGCTCCAGGACAAGGCAGAAAGTGCTCAGTACTCTGAGAGGGAGCGGAGAAAGGCCACTGAGGCCTAGAGGCGGAAAGAAGGCAGGGAGAGCTATGCGGAGGTGGCAGTGTCGGCTAAACCTCGAGGAAGGAGGACATGCAGTTGGCAGAGAAGGGCATGCCGGGAGGAGGAAAGAGCATGAGCCAAGGCCCAGAGAGTGGGGGGCATGGCAGGGACAGCAAGGGCCAGTGCTTCTCCATGAGAACAGATGCAAATGAGAGGCCCAGGTACCAGGACAGGGTGGTACCCAGGAGGGGTGGCTGGTGTGGGCATGCTCACGTGGGGTTTGAATCCTCCTGCATTTGGCAGCTCGTTGGGGATGGAGCAGAGCCTCGTGCATCCCTGTCCACCCAGCCTAGCACCTGCCTGCACGCCGGGGCCACACCTGTTTCAGCATGTCCCCTTATCATCCCTGGGGCAGCCTTTCCCTTTCTGGGGGGCTCCAATTCCTCCCAGTTCCTTCCTCCCACCCACGTCCATGTCCAAGTCCTCAAGTCAACCAAATTCAACTCCTCCAGCCTCCAGAGACAGTTGGGAGGGTGTGGTGGGTCCCTAAAGGGATCAAGAGAGAGACATGTCTAGTAGAGGGGAAAATTCTGGGGCAGTTGTCTCTCTCCACTTCACTAGAATCACTTCCCACCACCAGAAGTAAATCTGCTGTTTCCTGAGACGAGTCTGCGTTTGGTGAGTGTAAAACACAGTTCCCTAGAACTTAAAGAAAATCGTGACCAAAAGCTTCAGCATTTGAGTTCTCCCAGCTCTTCACAATTTTTATGTGGCTGGAAACTCACCAGCTTCTATCCCATTTCCCACTTCCTTCTTGCTAAGGACTGTGGCCCTGAAGTGTTCTGGAGGTACCCTGTTTTGGAGGCCTGGGACCCATTTGTTGAGGGGGTTAGTGAGGGGGTTCAGAGTCTTCTCAGGCACTATTTCCACATTAGCTTCTCTAAGCACCCGTCCAGGCTTGGCCCTGAAGCAGGTCTGTGTCCTCACAGGATGGTGCAGAAGACACAGCAGTGTCTTCCATGAAATCAGTCCCTGGTGCCAAAAAGGTTGGGGACTGCTGGTCTAGACACTGTGGGTTTCATATGAGTCACAGAACTAAGTTAGCTCTCTTGGGGCCAGTGTTAATCAATGCAGCCCAGAGAGGAGAAATAATGGATCCCTTCCATTCAAGTGGTTCTTAAACTCTTTGTGATAATAAGTTTATAAATACTCTCCTGAAAAAAAAATGCACAAAACTTTACCCACAATGTTTGGGGGTCATGGACTCCCAGCAACCCTTCATGGATCTGCAAAGGAAGCATAGGGACTCCTACATAGGAGAGACATTAGTGGTAAAATAGGTCACTCAGCTCTTTCTCTCTTTCATGGAAATGTACACCATCTTTTCTTTTCTTTCTTTCTTGTTTTCTTTTTTAACGTTTTAAAGTTTTCCTTTCAGGAAAAACGCTTTAACAAGAGCAGCGTGATTTGGACCACTTTGATCTGTCATACCCTTTGGGGCACCTGCTTTTCCCATCCTGACACAGGAACACCGCTCTCTTATCTACTGACTGGGAGAATATCAGGGCTGTCATCCTCTGCCAAAGCTCCCACAATTTGTTCAGGTGCCTGGCACGCTTTGATAACCTTTAACCTCTGTTATTTCATGTGTCCCACATTAAAGGTCATTAACTCTCATCACCAGAATGTCAGGAAGAAGGTGGAGCTTGCAGCACCTTCCTTGTAATATTATGGGATGGGATGACTGCTGTCCAGGAGATATATTCCACTGGGGAACAATGAGTCAATTTATTTGAAAATTCCTCACAAATAAAATCTCGTATAACCAAGTAGCAGTCTATGGAACAACACTAGACAAATGTTCACTTACTTCTGTCTTTGAGGCCAGTATTAAAACTAAGAATTTTGTTTCACAACAACACGTGGTATTTCACAGCTCCTGATTGTTCTAATTCTGACGTTCCATTTAGCTTCCCATTTGCCAAGATTGGTTAGAAGAGTCTTCTTTTCAAACATCTTTCCCTCTGAATTAGACTGTAGAAAAGCCCCAGGGGCTTACATGTCCCAAGACATTGGAGAGAGTCCTGGGCCCAAGGTTACCATGGCCACTGCAGAAAGCCACGATTCCGTTCAAAAGCAGGCTGGACACAAGATCTGCACTAAAGGCTTCTGAGGTCTGGCTGTTTTGTGCTTAATCACTTTCTAGTATCTTTAGAAACACAATGCTGGTCTCTAATTTTCCTGCAGTGGACAAGCGGTGTAGGGGAAAGAAGATACTTTTTGGGTCACCAAGTGTGGCTACAGCAACAAACAAACAAAACAAAATAATGAGAGCCAATGTTACATATGTAGCAGCTTTTCATGTCACCTTATCAGGATCACTACTGACCGCCTGGTAAAAGAAAGATCCCAAGTCCCTTTGTCTTGGGACTCTATAGAAATGTCCTGAACTATTTGAACTGCTGCTCAAATTGGGTAGATAAGACACTGAGAGAGTCTATGATTGTCAGGGACTTAAGGAGATACTGTTTTCTGGATAAATTATAGAAATTACTACAATCACTTGGTATTTGGTAGACTCCATTATTTGAATTCTATTAATACACTTGTTTAGATTGCAGGGAAAGGTTATTCTTTCCATTCTCACCATGCCCCCATAGCATATTATTATTTATAATAATGTTTTAAAGTGTCTTATACTTCCGTTTGTTTTATTTTTATTTTTTCATGTGGGCCACTGATGCATAGAAAATAACTTTATTGCTAAATAAATGCTCTTTGGAAATGACAAGTCACTAATGTACTAAAAGAATGTTGTATTGTTGCACGGACTGCAACTGCTGTGATGATTGCAGTGTCTTACATTATTCCTCATACTTCTGTTAAGTTTCCATTCGACAGCTGAGCAAAAGAGAAAAGAACGAGTGACAGATGTTGGATCTCCAGCAGAAACTGTACAATCTTGAGAACTGAAGATTAGAAGCCAACAGGCCCTGGTCCTAATGATAGTGTCCTTGACAATGGCCTCATATCTCAGTTTCTCCATCCTGAGAAGATTAATGGCATAGCAGGTCTCACACGTTAGGAGGGCAAGTTTGAAATATCAAGGTTCTCCTTTCCTTAATACGTCTCCTCTCAATTCCTTTCAGTTTCCATTGAGTGACAACCAAGGAAGGACCCTAAGAGACAGGCAGGATAGAGGTTGGGATGGGGGTGGCATTGCTTTTCCTCTTTCATAGCCTGATTTCTGCTTTACCCTTTTTCTTCTTTTCTCTGGTATCAGTCTCTTCTTCGTGTGTCTCACAAGTACTTTCTCATGTTACCAGTATCATCCACAAACATTCTTATGTGGCCTCTTCCTCTACTCTACTGGACTGCTTCTAGCCATCATTTTACTTTATTTTCATACAAAAGGACTTGGAATGCTGTGGTTTAAATAAGAATGAGAGGCTAGAACTGTAATTTACGGAGTGACTAGTTAAGTGTGTGTGTTTATTTCCTAAGGGTGCCACAAACCAGTGCCTTAAAACAACAGACATTTATTCTCTCACAGATCTGGAGGCCAGAGTCCAACATCAAAGGGTGGTGGCATGGCACTTGCTCTGGAGGCTCCAGAGGAAAAGCCTTCCTTGTTTCTTCCAGTTTCATGTGGAAGCTGCATCAGCTCAGTCTCCCCAGTCTCTGCCTCTGTCTTCACATGACCTTCTCCTCTACTCTGTGTCCGTGTGTCAACAAGAACACTTGTCACTGGATTTATGGCCCACTCAGACCGATCAGGATAATCTCGTTTTGAGATTCTAACATCTGCAAGACCTCATTTCCCAAATAAGTTCACATTTCCAGGTTCTGACATGTGTGGACAAATGTTTGTTTGGGGCCACTACTCCAAACCCAAAGCCATGTGTATTAATAATTCATGAAATCTCTTAGGTAGGCAACAGAAACTCCAGTGTACAGATGAGAAAACTGAAGTCCAGGGTTGTTAAGTAACTTAATAGGAAGTGGTGAACCCAGAATTCAAGTTTAGGCCAATGTGACATCAAAGTTTACTAAACCATATCTAAAAAGCACACCAGTTTTTGTCACCACTAATCTTCTTTGTGGCATCCAAAGGTAGACACAAAACCACCCCAACAAAAGGGAGATATTAATGTCTCCAGTAAATACAAAGCATTCTCTAACCTAATACA